ATTAATTAAGAAAATAGAATAAAATTTATTAAATTAGTTTCAAATAATATTTTAATATAAATATTAATTTTTAAATTTTGCCCAAATCCTTAACATCTATCTGATTAGGGTTGTCAAAACGACTCTTTGTTAGTGAACGACTCGTGTTCGACACGCTAAGCAAACGAACCGAACACGAACACATCTTTTGAGCTCAAAATATAAAACAGCCGAACACGAGCTGAGCCTGGAATCGCTCGTGTTCGGCTCGTTTACACCCCTAGTAGGCATTACCCACAGGCCTTAGTTGACACAAATAATTGCTATTTAAAACAGATTTTTAATAATTTTTAGCGTATTACCACCGATTTATTTTATAATTTTTGAATTAGCAAAGTTAACGCACTTTGAATTAGACAGGTGGCGCATGATTGTACGATCAAATGCATGAAAAATGACTAAATAAACTTAAATGAACAAAAATGTTTACCAGATGACACGCCTCCGAGTTAGAAAGAACTGTGTTGAGTAGCGTTATTTCTTATTATTGATATTGCACAGCATCCGTACCAATAATATACACTGAGACAAATCACGATGCCAGCGGCCGTATAAGCTACAGTAACATTCATCTCGTGTTCCGGATCCCACCTTTCATGCTTGACCATGTGATTGACATTGAAATTGGCTGTTTCAGGGGTCGCAAAATTAAGACATTTCATAAATTTGAATTTATTTTTTTTATGATAGGAAGATTTACATTCATATCTCTTAAAAGTTAAAACAGAGACTTTTTTAAAGATTAGGGTGGTACAAATGCAATAAATAGAATACAGTATAAGACTTAGGTGGCATGCATGTAAATGCCAACAAACATCTGAACTTCATATTTATAGTTACAACATTTTATTATTAAAAACACTGCGAACTACATCTTTAGTTGGAAGTCATTAGTTCACGATACTCCGCACCATTCAATTATTTTTTGGGTCTTATTTCGCCAAAAGCTTAGCTTGTCCCATTCAAGTGAGGCGAAGATGAAACAAAATTGGAAACTTGTTAATCTGATTTGAAACAATGATATATGCCTGCCGTTGCTCGTCTGTAGCGAGCAGAAAAAAAATTATTGAATGTTTCAGTGGATCACCCAATCAGATAACGCCAATGGGCGATGGTAAACAAAGGAGAATATTTTCATGCAAATTAAGTGCACTGATTCATTCTCTTATTTACGCAATTAAATTATGAGGCAGTGGACAAATTTTTACATTGCAGTGACACTTTTAATTAAAGATTGTTTATATGGACACATAGGAATGTCTGTTTTAATAATATTATAAAGAAAAATGACAGAAGAGTATCAGTCAATGAAGTAAAATTTTCTTGAAAATATTCAAAGATTAAAGTATAAAAAAAAAAACCTTTTTTTAATTTAATATGAACTAACGGTTATGTAATAATATATATGAATCTCTTAGCCTATGAATTGTAGACATATCTAATTAAAAGTAGCGCGGTGTTGCCAAACATGACATAGAAGTATCTGATTTGAATAATATTTTAGAAAATAAACACCTTTTGTATGCACACGTGCCCCCAAAGAATTAAAATTTTCTGATAAATAATTTTAAACAAATACATTTTTAACATTAAAATTTTTAAGAAATTATTATTTTTTTTTAATAGAAAACTAAATTTACTTTGATGTAATACAATACTTTATTTTTCTATATCATAAACTGAATAATATATGTAGATCTCTTACTTTTGAAAGTCAATGTTATTAATTTTTTGTTTATTTCCTATTTGTTGTTATTAAAGTTTTACTTATTTAGTTTTTATCTATTCTTTATAATATATATTAGAAAGATTTGTTTTTCTTAAAGTTTTGTTTATTTAGCTTTTATCCATGCATCATAGGCTTTATCTTTTGAATGTTAATATTATTAAATTTTTTATTATATCTTCTTTATTTATTTATTGTTTTTTTTTATAATTTATATTAGGAAGATTTACTTACTCAACACTCAATTCTTATGTATTTACATATCTCACCTAAAATTCAACTTTACATTTATGTCATTTTATCTACACATAAAAAAAGTCCATTTTTTTTAAAGTTAGAAGTTGTAGTATTTTAGATATGATATTAAAATTGTAGCATTTTAGATATAATATGAAAGATTGGACGATATAAATTGATAAATAAAGTTTGGATGTTAGTATGATATATAAGAATTGATTGGTATGTATGTAAAAAAAAAAAAAAATGAAAAACAAAAATTTAGAGCAAGATGTTCTTACTACATTTGTGTTAAAGTCACCAGATTTATTTAAGAAAAGATGTATTAGACTCATTAATATAATTATTTTCACTAATTATATTTAAAAAATTAATCAAAATATTTTCAATCAATAATTGAAGAGGCAAAGAAAAGTACTAAAATATTATAAATATAAAAACTAATTTTAATTGTTAGACATATAAATTGATAAAAATTATGTTAATAAAAAGGAGCTGGGTCCCTTGAGCTATCCGCTGCTCAGTATGGAAAGCAGTGGATATATCTCTGTTGCAGCGCGATTTGCGTCACATCACATGCATCTGACAGCCCAATTCTGAGCCCAACCCATATCGTACGGTTCTGATGCGAGGCAGCGAGTTCCCCTCGCTTTGTTTTCTTCTCATAGTTTGTTAAATAGGGATTCCGTTAAATAGGGTGAAAAAAATGGTGATGTCGGAGTTCTCATATGCAGATTGTGTTCTTATGGGTGCTGCCGGAGTTGATCAAGGAGGAGGAGATAGAGCTTCTGATTCCCATTCTTCTGTCGGTGTTCGTCTTCCAGTTCTTGCCCAAGGTGTACCATAGCATCTGTCTGATGAGAGGAATGCAGAAGGTCACCGGCTACATTTTCGGAACCATTTGGTGGGGTTTCGGCCTCAACCTCATCGCCTATTTCATTGCCTCACACGTAAGCTTGAATTACCCCCTTTTGGCTAATCGTAGCATAATGTAATGCTTATAATTCAAAAAGAAGAGAATGCAGTGCACTTCAAATGCTTGAGGTAGGTTTGAGGTTCTTAAGATGTATTTGCCCAATTTTGGTTTGATGGATTTCGTGTTTTTGTCCTTTTGATGCAACTTTTTTATTGTTTTAGTTTGTGACCTAATTTTGTGGGCCCCACGAGTTGTCTCATAGGAAAATAATGAGCATGTGAATTAATGTTTTAAAAGAAAATTGTGAGCATGCGGATTAAGATTTTAGAATGAAATTGTAGTAAGGATTGAAGTCTTTGACCGTTTGATCAATATTATAATAGTCTTAGATTGCTATCCGTGGGTATTACTTTATTGACTCTGTTTAATTATTTTCTTTAAAGTGATCCTGCTAAAACTAGAAATACCCTTTTTTGTTATGTACAAGTGCAGACATTTTCTTGCTTCACTTTTATGCTGGTCAAAATTCTTATAATTTTAGATTTGATATAGTGAATTCTTCTTCCCTGTCCGTGATATTTCCCATCCTGAATTTTTCAAGTAAAATTTGTGTGTTTTTTTTTTTTCGTTTATTTCATTGTTTGTTGCATAAATTCAAGTTTAAGTTATAGCAAGTGGTATTAGAGATAAATTTTGATCTTCATGATGACAACAGTGAAAAACGACATCTCTTTTTTAGATTGCAATACCGATTTTCGCTTCAGTAAGTTAAGATGTGAGCTTTCTTAGCACAAATGGATCTAAACGATACACTATTTGGATTTGAAAGAAGGTCCTCATCACGGACGTTGGAAGAGAAGCAACGTAAATATCGAAATGCTCTTTCTCAAAGTCATTTTCCTCTGTCAAATCAAATTCTACATGATGATTTGAAGGAGAAGACCGAAGCTGTGTTATGATTGAAATTAGAGCAATTGTGTGTGGAAAAAAAAATATGAAGAGCAAGTTACACTTAAAATAACATTTGCATTCTCACAGGATGACATAAAGTGCATCTATTATAAATCACTTAACTGCCTTTAAGGAAATCATCTTGATTTAGAAGCCATGAAAGTTAGAATAAGATTTGATATTAATCCTGTTATGCTCACTGCCTTCATCATGTTCAACGGTTAAATGTACATCTTGTATAGGAGAAAGACACTTACTCTAGAAGAAATATATGAGGCTTGATTTTCTAAAGAGAAGATGAGGCAGCTTGCGGATGAATTTAATGCTCAAGGAGAAGGTCTTATCGTTCAAGGTTCAACTCAAGAGAGGGGTTTTGATGCTAATATAAAAAGTAGATCAAAATTTAGGAATAAGAATAAGATCTGTAATTACTATAAAAAAAATGAACACATCAAAATTGAATGTTATAAGTTACAAAATAAAAATAAGAAAGTAACTTCAAATCAGAAAGACAAACAATCCGATCATTCTAGTGAAGCCAGTGTTGTTGAAGAAATTGTTAGTGAATGTGAACTCTTAGTTGTCTCTGACATTGCACCTTGTGACAATTGGATTTTTTGATTCAGCCGATAAATTTCATGTGTTTCAACAAAGACTGATTTTCAATATATGAAACTATCTCAGAGTACTATGCTAATGGGCATTAATGCTCCATGTAAGATTATCGATATTGAAACTATTAGAATCAAGATATTTTATGGAGTCATAAAAAAACTTAGAAATGTGAGATATGTCCTAAATCTGAAAAGGAATCTAATTTTCTTATGTACTATTGATGCTAAATGGTATTAGTACTCTTGTTAAGTTGGAGTTTTAAAGATCAACAATAACTTTAGTTTTGATGAAAGGATATAAGAAGACTGCTAGACTGTATGTTTTCTAAGGCTCTACAGTGATGGGTGATGCATCATTTACTATTACTATACAGATGATGAAGTAACCAGGCTTTGACATTTGCGTCTTTGACATATGAGTGAGAATGAGATGACTGAATTGAGCAACTGAGGACTTTTAAATGATCAGAATATTAATATTTGAAGTCATGTGAGCATTGTGTATTTGGGGTTAGAAGAAAGTTTAAGTTCAATACTGACATTCATAATATCAAGAAAATACTAGACTACATACATTATAATATTTGGAGACCATTTACAGTATCATCTGAAGGTGATGCCAAATTTATACTGACGTTCATTTATGATTTCTCAAGAAAAAGTTCGGGTTTTCTTCTTGAAGTATAAGAGCAACGATATTTTTTTCATTTTAAGGAGTGGGAACTTATGATTGACAAGCAGACTAGAAAACAGATCAAACGTCTTCGTACTGATAATGGGTGGAGTTCTGTTCAGGAGAATTTAATCTCTTATGTAAATCAGAATGAATTATGAGAAATTTTCCAGTACGACACTCACCTCAACAAAATGGTATGATAGAATAAATGAACATGAATATAATGGAGAAGGTTTATTGATATTATCCAATGTTAAGCGACCTACTTCATTTTGGGTCGAAGCTTCTTTGTACATCTTATTACTTGGTGAATTGTTCTCCTTCCATTGTTATTGTTGTGAGATATGTACTTCCTGGCATAGAAATGAGACGAAAAAGAACACAAGCAAACACAGATCGTTTACGTGGTTCGATCCAACTGGATCTACGTCCACGGGAGGGAATCAATCAAATATTTCACTAAGGCAAAAGAAATGGAGAATACATAGCTTATACATAGA